AACTCAGCAAAAAACTTCTAAAGCCTAAAAAAAAAGAGGTAAGCAAAACGGGCCAAAATCTCAGAACATGGAGGCTCTGCTTGATGAGGAGACACATTCCTCTGCTTTGAAAAGCAAACGAAGGAATTTATCAGCAGCAAAATCACAAAGTGATCTCTGCTCCCGACAGAAACCATGCCGACACTCGAGGGCAGCCAACAAAGCCCGACTTTTCACACCTCGAATTCCACCTGAAGGATTTTTATCATTTACAGCACATCCCACGTTTACCCGCAGCCCTTGTAAAGATGTGGTACAAGAGCTTTAAATTCATATATTGTTGCTGTGTGCAGCATAAACACACATTGAATAGAAAGAACGGCGTGTTAGCGCCACCGTGGATAGAAAGAAGCAAAACTTGGAAATTTTCGAGAGGAAAATTGGAAATTTTGAGGTTTCTAACAATAAAAAGAACTTTGCTAGAAAAAAATAGAACATTTGAGATTAATCTGAGAAATTTTCTAGAAAAAACTTGTGCGTTTCATTGAAAGAGTCAAAAAAATTTGGTAGGAAAAAAAAAAGGACAAATTTTCAGATTAATCTCAGACATTTTCTATAAAAAACTGGGAAACTTCAGAGCTTGAAACGTCCAAAAGTTGCTTGAAAAACAAAAAACTCACAAATTTTGATATAAATTGCTGACATTTTCGAGAAAAACACACAAACACTTGTATTTCAAATGTTTTCAAATTTAGTTGCGAAATTTCCAACAGTTGAATATATTAAAAATAATTATGGTGGCTCTTGAGAAGTGTCTGATTGTATGGTAATGAAAAAAATCCCCATCTCTGCTGGAAAAACATTTAGAATATATTAAATAGAAAAAATCGCATCATCAGGATCTTCAATGACATGACAACAACAAACGCATTATAAGTACAGGATATATGCTTCCAGACATTTAATAAAAAGTTAATAATTTGTCAAAACTTATGTGAAAATTGAGAGATGTATTTGTTTTGTACTAGTTCTAATTAAGTAGATGTTATTTACTGAACATTTAAAGATTATTTTCACTTCTATCTGCCAAATATATTTTCTACCACATCATAATGTACGTTTATTGCATGGAAATAAATCTGTTTTGTAACTCATAGATTACAGACGTACACAAAAGCGACAACTCTTTTAATCAATACCCGAAGCTTCTAAGGTATTTGTATGTTCATATTTTTCCAGATAAACACTTGAGCAGATTGAATGTATGAATATTCCTTTAACGAGTCCAGCTCTGATTTTCTTTAGAGTAAGAGAGCGTTTGATATTGTGGAAGAGGCATCTAATTAAAGCTTTAACCTTTTTCTTCCTCCTCTGCTCTCATCGCGACCGCTTTTAAAACGCGACTCGCAAAAGCTCCTAAAGTAAGACAAAGGACAAAGTTAGAAACTAACTAACTTCGGCCTCTTCCTCTGGAATCATAAAACTTTGCATAAAGCTCAAAGCTTTCATGATATCATGGTGGTAAAATAGAAGTTTACAGCAAAAATGTAAGTGTAAATTGTCAGCTTCCTGTTTTTATTTCCTCTGAAACAAAACTTAACACTACTGCTGTGTTCCTATAAAAATTGTGTTTTCTTCTTCTTTAGATGCAGCGTTTGAAGCACAGAAGACCATTTTCTTACCTTGTTAGAACGTAGGAACCATGGACAGTCTCCTTTGGATTTGCAGCCGACGTTGCGTTCAGTGATCGGCCCGTATTCTGCTTACATCGTAGAGTCAAAATGTGGAGATGCTAAGAACGCTTTGTTGGTCGTTGGATCAGTAAGATAACCGCTTTCAGTAACATCCCATTTCTCACCGGATGCACACTCAACAAATTAACAGAAGTCCCCTATAAAGAAGACAAAGAATAAACATTATTTGTGAGTTATCTCATAAAAGCAGAAATTATTAGCCGCTAAAAACCTAAATCTAACAACAGGGAAGCTAATTGCCTCTAAACTCACGGCTTACTGGAGGTGATAAAGTGAGATACGGAGACTTTTTTTTGCTCAGTGTTCGGCTCACGTAGATCAGTGTTACAACAAGAACTCTGCCTTTAAAAAGGGCCATTAACCATGTTTAATGTGCTGGTGTAAATTTTGAGTTTGCACAACTTCGGCTATAGTCGGGATTTGTCAAGTGTAAGTTGATCCAATCATGTCAAACGATGAAGAAGATGGGATGGCCTGGGGTTCAGTGTTTTTACCGCTCGCTCAAAATCAGCTCCAAAAGATCTGCATGATGAACTGAATTTCAGTCATCATAGCATGATTAGTTTGCACATCATTATTACAAAGAGCTCCTTAGATGCAACATGTGGTAAGCTATCATATAGGAAAGGAGGAAAGGACAGTAACATATTTTGGATCATCTTAATGGACTGATGGGACAGAAGGATGGGAATGTCTCAGTGACAGATAAGAAACAAAAAACTAAAGAAAATGTGAGTTACTCAAAATGAATATTTTTCATTAATTATTATTAAGTAGTAGCAGTTAGTAGCATAGTAATTATAGGGGTATAGTGGTAAATCACAGTTTATTAAGTCATGTCATACATGTACTGTTCCACTCCTATCACTAATAAAGGCCTTGTTCAATTACTGGCATCAAGGGATAGGAACTTAAAAACGAAGGTTTCAGATCTGCAAACATTTTCTGTCACACTGTTCCTCTGTGACGGGTCCTTATGGAGATGCCAGCGCACTTATCTCAATTCTTGGGAGTTTTCACTAAGGAATGCTTGATGGAGTGCTGCCCCTCTCCAACCTGCTGCGACGCACGACGTCAGCTGACTGTAATAAGCACTTTACTGAAAAACAGTTTGGGTTGTAAAATTAGCCCATCAAAAACACTTTATGCATTTTTTTTTTTTTTTTTTTAGATTAACAATCTTATTTTAAGTTGATTCGTACAGGAGTAAGTTGTTTTAGCAGGTATCTAGAAAAGTATGGTTGCTTGCTAATCCAACTGTTTAAGTCATAAACCAGAACGTCGCCCTGACCAGGTAATATCAAATATCTTTGTCACTGAACGTCATTTTACTTCCCTCCCCCCCCCACTGGGAAATTGTTTGACAGCATTTCCATTCACTGAAACACAAACCCAGAAATGCCCGAGTGTGATCATTCGGCATCAGCAAAGTGTAACGTACGGCAACACAGACAAAAAACACTCCTGGCTTCATGTTATTAAGCATTCCAATAGCAGCAGCTATAACAGAGACTCCATCTCTATTGTTTTTTTTTTTTCCTCACAGATGCTTTTTTCTTTTTTACCTACGGCCTGAGGGAAGAGGCTGAAAACCTGTAAAGAGGGAACCGTCTGAACGTAGCATGACACAGGCTGCCTGTCTCAGCATCTGCCTGTCATAAAGGCCCAGAGACTTGGGTCGGAGTCCTTCCTAAAAATCTTGCGGGCCACTTTAACCGGGCTATCGGGTCTGGTTTTATTGGCCGTGGAGAGATTACCGTACCATTTCAGATGAACACAATAAAAGCTCTCCATTTCCTTATAAAGCACAGATGTCGTCATTCTTCTTTTGTTGCAGCGGTAAAACGTGTCTCAAGAGGATTCAGGGAGGTAAAAACATAATGAACACAACAATGGAGTGAGCATTCACAAGGACTGGATGTGCGAGCTATTTACGTAAATCTCACCTAGACGCAGGTATGTAATACTTTTCCCTCAATTTGTTCTGAAGAAGCTGATTGGCTGTTTGTTATTTATTTCTCAATAAATATTTATTGATGCTGAAATTATATATAATTTCTTATTTGCACCATAATAAACGAGACACTAACCAACATTTTTGGTGCGCAATGGCAGCACTTGGAAAAATGTAATGATTCGATTCAATTTGTTTTTGTGTTTTTACGATGTGAAGCATGGACAATGCAAATAAAATTTGATAGATTGATTGATAGAGTTGATGCGTTTCAAATAAAATCTGGGAAAATCTGAAGGTATCTGCTGGTCTATCACTTTTATTATTATCATTTTGTCTCATAAACTACATGTAGCGCTTTTTTTTGTTCGCAGGCTAGCTATTGACAAATAGGTCAGCCAATTAAACAGCTTGTTGCTGTCAGAGTCGGCGTTACTCCACAAGCTTGCGCACACAAACGGGAAGTTTGACGCATTTGTTCTCAATGAAAACATTTTAAACATACATATACAGGAAGGCACACATGAACAAAAGATTTTTCTGTAAATATCTAAGCAGGCATTATTTTGACAAAGGGGAAGACACAGATGAATTAGCATGAATACATGGTCTGAGCATTCAGTAGAGAAAAGATCCTGGGAAAGTCTGAACAGCTTGTGTCCAGCATATGTGGGGTCTGCAGAGATTTTAGCTGCCTTTTTCCTGATCCCAGACCTGAACAACCTAAGAAAATTATGATTGGGAGTCTTCTCTGTAGACCTGTTGTTGCTCTATACGGAGCAAAATCTCAACGATATGATGATCTACGCAACAAGAATTTTGAAAACGACTACTAATTTCGTTGGTCTCTATATTTTTGATTATTTTGAAATTAAATAAAACCAAGTGACATTTCCCTTATTTCATACAAGTGGTATAATAAATACCTTACACTATACTAGTAGCAGTGTGAATAAGTATTATTGTTCTGCTTTGAATAATAACAATTAGCTTTTAGAAAATTTATGTAGAAATTAAATTTTTTGACTCAGGAATCTTATACCAGTCTAAACCTATTACAATAAAAAGGTTATTTTATATTCAGTATTAAATAACCTTATTAAACCAACAATTACAATAAAATATATTGTAATCCTATTGGATAAGACGTCTCACAAAATTGACATAAAACCACAGGAAGTCGGGTCAATTGGGCGAAAGGAGACATGGGAGATTGGACTGGATCGTAACTCCTCATTTGGGAAAGACAAACATAAATATCAAATGGTTTCAAGATGTTGAGACATAATTTTTATTGTAAATTATTAGCCATTATGCAGCTTTTTCATGGAGGCTTTTGCTCCACAACGTCAATCGCTTTGCTCTTCTTTCTATTCTACAAGCGTTTCTGCATCTATGCAGAGCTTTGTCTTCTTCAGTCGCCCGCTGATCGCAGCGTCTCTCGTCCAAGGACGCTCTGAGACACGGGTGGAAGTGAGGACGGGCGCTTCCGACGGCAGCAGAAGAACTCTATCACCCGGAGCCACAGCGGCACCGGAACGAGGGAAGCACAACGCTCAGTCTTTATCTGTTTGACACGGTTGTGAAGAAGATAAAGAGGATTTGTTAATTTGTCTCATTTTCTATTGGGCATGCTCGTCTCTGTTCTGTTTTCTTGCGTTGCCAATTTGGTTACTTCAAATGAATATGATCCAATTTGCTGAGTGAGATCGAAGCCGTGAGGTAAAAGCGCGCATTGGGTTTTTCATTATTGTGAATGCAACTGGTCAAGCTGTGGCGATGAAAGTCAATCAAAGCTTAAGGCCTTGTTTGCGCTAAAAATGTGAAACATAAACCTTCTTCTCTGTTTCACATACAAACTTTAAAGTTTTAAGCAAAAACAATAAAAACATCTAAAGTGGAGGCTTGTCATTAGTTATTCTTCTCAATGCCGTGCTGGTAAAAACGTTGTTAAAGGGTTAACAGAGGAGCGTTGTTGTGACGACTTCCTGAAGGCGGAGTTTCAGAAAGAGCAGGAGTTTCTTAAAGAGACAGAGGCCCGATTTCATATGTGATGTATAAAGCATGTACAGCATCTCAATGTAACATAGTTACTTCATTGTGCTATAAAATGACACTATGTTGCTGGAAAATATACCACTGTTCCTTTAAACCAAATGGTTTTGGAATGGGATTCTACTCACCTTCTGATTATAATACTATTTCAATACATTGTGTCTTGCTATTTTCCTGATTGCAGGTTTGCTGTCTCGCCTCAGCAGTTGTGGTTAGCTTCATCTCATAAAAACGTCAGTCATGTAATCCCTCCTGCAGCTCTTCAGAGCAACTGTGCAAAGTCCTGCACTGAAAGACAAAAAACGATTAGCTAAAACAAACAAATCTCCACATGAAAAAGGCAAGTCCAACCATCCAGGAAGAGGTGTTGAAAATTCTTTGGGGAGGGGGGGGGGCAAGAGGGAAGGTTTTTTGTTGTTGCACGGCATGAGGAGTAATTACACACCAAACACCTGGTTCTAGATTGCGGATAACGCGCTAGCACCGCATTGTTTGTCTCAAACGATTAATCTAGCCGCGGGGTAGAAAAACAAACAAACCAAAAAAAAAAAAAAAAACAACAACAAGAGATTGAAGTAAATCTGTAATGGAGCAGTCAGGGAGTGGAGTTACAAGTTGAGATAGTTTCCTGCAGTGAGGATGTGCGCCTCAGTGGCAGTGACAGAGCACACTTCTTCACAGGCCTTCGCGGGAGCGCTCACTCAACGCTGTTAGATCCCCTGACCTCTCATGGCTACATTAAACCCTTTAGAATAACAAAGCGCAGTTTGAGAGACCCGCAGTCACTTCAATTCGAATGTGCAAATACACTTCCAAGGAAATAAATCCATAGCAAACTTGAGAAATGCCAAGAGTCAGATTTAATATTTTCCTAAAGTATGTCTGGGGTTTTTTTCTATTTCCTCTTTATGCATAAATTTTAAACCAAATATGATCTTAATTATGTATACAAAGTTTAAAATGCATTGTCTGTTGCCTGCAGATGCAAACACACGCGCGCGCGCAAGCGTGCCGCGTTCCGCGCGGCGGCACGTAGGCACACACACGCACGCACGCATGGCGGCTGCAGAATTGAATGCGATAGGGAAGTGAAAAATGATTAACCCAGGGTCAGCTCTCAGCCTCAATCTCGGCAGCGCTCAAAGAACATCCTCGCCTGATTTACACTCGTCATGTTCCACAGCACACATTTGCATATATTTATTAAATTCACCACGCGTTGGAGAATAAAATATAACAGCGCGGAGGGGGGAGGGTGAGAGCGCGAGGAAAGGCGGCGAAGGAAGAGAAGGGGGTGGTGGGGGTTATTTAAAGGAGGTGTGTGTTTCTCATAGATTTGCTTCCCATTCATATTCATTCGCTCGCTCCTTTCTCCTCCTCGCGCTCTCCCTCTGTTTTTGTTCATTAGCATGGAGGTCAGCGCAGGCATCAGATGTGACCGCGCGCCGCTTCGGGCGACACGTTGCTGTTGGTCAGCCTATTGAGTTGACCTTGTTATCGTTGTGACAGACCGTGTTATTTATCAGTTAGTCAGATAGGAGCGGCGTGGAGCGCGGTGATAGTCCGCCGCACGGAAGTAACGAGTTCCCGCCGCTGAATCCCAAACACCGGCCGACGGAAACGCGGCCCGCCCTCGGCGAAACCGGGCCGTCTTCGTGAAGCGGTTCTGTCGACAGGGGAAGCAACTCCGACGCGGTTTCCCAAAAATATCTAGTAGCAGCTTGGCGCCTCCTCCGCCTGTTGACAGGAGAGAGATTTCTGACCTGACAGAAGCTAACTTTAAGCAGCCGTTAGCGAGCGTTTCCGTTACAGGTTTGCGCAAACGATATTTCGGTAATAGTGACAACCTCCCTCGCCCCAACTTCGCATTTGTGTTTTTTTTTTCTCTTAAATGAAACAATGAAAACCTCAAGTTTTCTCACCACTTCCTGTCGTTTTCTTCTTCTTCCAGAGGAAACGTCCGGTTGACGATCGCGTGACGTCAGAAAAGTATTACGTTCATTTTGATAAGAGTTTAAAAAGCTCCTCTCAGAATATAAATACGATACTTACTCTCTTTTTGATGGTCTTTTGGAAAAAAACTGTGGGTATAATAGTAAAAATAATGTTTGCGATAAGAACGTCTGTTTTGTTTTGTTTTTTTAAGCTAACATTAACTGAAATTTATCGAGAGTCAAATTATTTTTTACTTTAATTGATAAACAATGCGGTCAAGACTCCAGCTTCTGTGAGTCTCGTGTATGTCCTGCTCAACGTACTAATGGTGAAGAAACAACTTACCGCTTCAGAAAAAAAAAAAAAAAAACAGTTTATCTGCCGTCATCGGTGGCCAGGCTAACTCGCCTTAGCATTCAGTGAAAGGCTTCATAGTGGTAAACAATTGTAGCAGTGAGAAAGGAGAACATTACAAGCAGTCAGCACACAAGAGTGATTGGCAGCGTTAAGACCCTCCCCCTGCCTCTGATTGGTTGTTTCTGACGGAGTAGTGCATTTGTTCCCATGACAGCAAACTCGTATGGAGAAGGCACATTATACTGTCACAACATAGTTATCTTTTTAACAAATATTTAAAAGAAAAAAACATTTTTCATAGGAGCTACGTACTCCTCCTTCAAGTCAGAAAAGATTCATTTCAACCTGTAGTCTATAAGCTCTTGCTACATCAAAGAAAATAACCTTGCTCACTCTCTAAATGACAACTGCCTCTGTTAAAATTAAAGCAAAGCGATCATCGTGCTAAGCAGGCTCATTAAGTTGAAATTCACATCTCAGACTTGCTTGAAACAACAAGACATTCCTCATTTAGCCTAGAAGCAGATTTACTCTTGTACTCGGACAAATGCTTCCCACTCACTCCACAAAAACTGCAACTCGCACCAAGTTTTCCTTTTGCATTTCCATTTTCAGATTCCCCCTCGCTCACCGTTGTACCTCTAAGGCTAACGGCGAAATGCTAATTATTCACCTGCGGCCTCGCTCTAGATAACCTCGACCAGGCCTCCCATTGTCCCCCGCTTCTGTCTCGTCCGTCCGTCCGCACACAAACAAACACACTGCAGCCTGATGGGAGCAGCGTGGCAGGTGGGATCAATAGGGCTGAAACCTGTCCAGAGCGTTAATCCATCAGCGGCGAGTGGAGAGAAGAGGCAGGCCAGGAGAGCCATTTGCTCACACACAGGCCTCAGCTCTTTCTTTTTTTTTTTTTTTTTACCACGCTGTGTTAAATGGCTGTCTGAGAAATATTTTTTAAACCAAGAGACCGCCTCGTCCATGCACACTCTCTGGAATCTCAAAAATGCTGTTGTGGCAGAGAAGTGTTACACTTCATTCAGCATCCAGAACGAGCTCTTTTGAAAAAATCAAAGTCAAGAGTTTCTCAGTTGTTTCAGATGTTTGAAGGTCTTGGGTGTAAAAAAGCTACCTTTCATAAGTGGGAAACAAACATCTATTTGTTGGCTGCGTCTCATGTTTGGCAGCTAAATGTGAGAATACTTTAGGTTTTTACTCGAGGGCCCGGAAAACTATGAAAGCAGGATCTCTCCTATTCTCCATCAAGCATGTTGTCTTATCTTAGCTGTTTCCAGACGCTACATGCTAAGATCCAGCATATAAACTTAGCGACGAGCTAAGGTTCAGGAATGATTGCGCGTGTCCACAGCGACCTCTCGTTTCACAAAATGACTCAATTCTCTTCTCCATTTGTTGCAGTGGAAGGATTTTTATTGTTGTTGTTTTATAGAGAATATCGTTTCTGTTTTTTTGTTGACGATCTATGGATGATAACGTACAACTTTGGAATGGAGGTGAATCGGCATGACTGCCTGCTGATGCGTTATTTACAGCTCCCAGTGCACATGTATTATCGCTCAACTTCAAACAAAAAGCTGCTGGTTTGGGTTTGTTTTCTTTTTGGTACAGCATTAATGTCCAGCTAGTGTATTAGCGGGCTACCAGCTAAAGTATTCTCATCCAGACGGCAACATAACAGGGTTTTTCGAGACTTAAATCCTTATGTTGTGGTAAATATCTGTCCAAATTTAAAGATGAAGTATAAAGTTCATTTAAAGATGAGCTATGGATAGAACCAAACTTCACGTCTGATGAGAGCTGGAAAAAGCAAGCCTTCTGTTGTTGAGTATGGTGTATGTAGGATTACAGAGCATGGTACCCCAGCAGATTAGTAGGCTGCCCCGCATTTTTGAGCCAAGACAGCAATATGGCGTTTATAGCTAAGGTTTACATTGGAGCCGCCTGGAAGAGCATATTCCAGGTCGTCCAGTTTGTGTGAACGGCGGCGCGTGCGATCCGCGCCGAGTGACAAACATCCAGAGGAGTCTGATGTCCACATCTGAACTTATAGGTGGGGAAGGAAAGGAAGACTGGAAATTAATTTTATGGAAATTAAAACAAAAAAAAAGAAGTAAAACCAACAATATAAAAAGTTTAAGTTATGCTTTTTAAATCATATACAGTAAGTATATATATTGTTTACTGGAAATTAGTGTAATAGACATTTATAATAAAAACAAAAGGAAGTTAAAGCTGTAAGAAAAAAGAATGTAATTAGAAAACGATTTAAAACACGAGTACAATTTTTATAATCTAGTGACCATATCCTGACAGTTCAAAGAAGAAATAGTTTCTAGTTCTATCACACACACATATGATCTAAATGTGTTTTTACGCATAAAAGAAGCACTAATAATATAGAATAGCAAGAAAAAAAAAAAGACAATGGAAGATACTGGAGAGTCTCCATCGCTCTGATGGGCGGGCAGCCAGTCAGCCTTGCCTCCCTGGAAGGCCCCAGTCTGATTCAGAGTAAAACAATTGGCAGGAGGGATGTGAATCTCTCCCTCTCGTTGCTTCCTCCCTCTCTTGTCTCTCTCTCTCTCTCTCACACACACATTGAGTCAGGGATGGCAGAAGACCAACAGTCTGCGCCAGTGGGCGTAGTGGGACCGCCGGGCATGCTGGGACCAGCCACGGGAGTTAAGACTCGCTGAACTACAGCTGCAACCAACCCAGCCATGGCCGCAGTGAGAGGGGACGCGAGCTCCAACACACTGCTACAGATACACTCAGACACATATGTTCTCCAATAACACACACGCGCGAGCATAACTGCCTGTCTGGTCCCATGCCATGAGTCTCAGCTGTGCCAGCCCCCTCCCTCCCTCCGATCCTCCCCACCCACAAGCCCTGGACCTCCCGCGTATCCCTCCCTCCCCTCCTCTCCTCCCTCACCGCTCCTCCCCGTCGGTAGCCTTTGTGGGCTAATTAGCGGTGAAATTGGTGAATTGCAGGCTCGGGCACACGCATGCATACACATTCACCCACACATCCCTCCCTCCCCCAACCCCGAGCCTCCCCCCCTCCGTTATTCTCACACACACACACACACACACACACACACACACACACACACACACACACACACACACACACACACAGTTGGTAAATTGCAGGCTCAGGCACAGCAGTTGCAGACACTTCAGCATAGCCAAGCGCCACTTCAGCCCCTGAAAAGCCTCTGAAATGGGGCATGCAGCACAAAGACAGGAGTGGAGAGGAGAAGAAAGGGAACCACGGTGGAGAAGGCGAGAAGGAGCGCGCGCGCGCGAGAGAGAGAGAGAGAGAAAGAGAGAGAGAGAGAGAGAAAGAGAGAGAGAGAAAAGTCGGAGGAAAACATTTCGCCTCGGTGTTTCTCATCGCTCTCGAGTGCGTTGGCACCGCTCACCGTATATACGGGGAAAATTAAATTAGTGCCGTTTTTTTCTCTCTCTCGTCAACTTCTGGTCCAGACGTGTTTTGTCGGAGAGCTACCTGACTCTCACCTGTGTGCCATTGGCTCACGTCGAAGAGTCGCTAAATGTCTCTTTCGCCCCCACTCTCTCTCTCTCTCAGAGTCAAAGAGCTTCCAGTCTGTAATGATTTCTGTGATGGACGACACTCATTCCATCATCCCTTCATCCCCATAAATTACCTCTCATATTAACAGGCAGTATTAAAACTCTGCAACGTGTCAGGGCTCTCATTTAAAATTAATAAGTGGTAATGATGGAGGGAGGGAATCTGACGAGGAAACATGGGAAGGCCGAACAAGGTGTACAAGTTAAGGAAGGAGGGGTCAGGCAGGGAAGAGAAATACACACACACAAACCCCCCCCCAAAAACACAAAGAACCGGAGCTCAAAGACCGAAAGACGTCTGAGAGATCTGTGCTAAAACTATCAACACATCAAAATTTGGAGGGATGTAATCTGAAACAGACGGTGTGATTGATTGCCAGCTCCTTTGGTCACAGATACAACATGGCTTCCCAGCTGAGCATGTAGCCAAAATAAAAAATAAAAAGATGACGACAGCCAGACAGTTACATTGTTGGACTTGGTTGAGACCTGCATTGAGTATAGACTTGGGCAGGTGGTGACTGTCAGAGAAAAAAAAAAAAAAAAAAAAAAGAAAAAGAAAAGTTGTGCTAAACTGAAGCCTAGTCTGTGTACATTCAGATATCTGGCAAACCGTAACATGTAACCTCAGCTTAAGAGCAATTTATAAGTAAAACTCCAGCCAAAGAGAACATTTGCACTGCTTCTTCTTCTTCTTTTTGTTTTTTTTTTTTGCATATTCACGTTGACATCAGAAACCAGAATCTCCTGGCATCATGTTTAATTCCTAACAGGAAGTGGTGATTGTTGAAGGACAATGATTGGCTGCTATAAGTTTTAGCCACAAGGCCCTCTATGAGTTTGGCATGTTTAAAACAACACTCAGTAATGTGACCCAGCGGGTTTGTGTGAACAAACGCTTTGATCTTATTGAACACAAGATAATATCTCAGCTTTTTTTTTTTTTTGAACGGTGGACATGGTCCTAGGTGTTGAGAAAAAATACACAAAAGGACTAACAAGATGTAATTCTATGTACTTGATTGAGTAATGCAACAAATATTTGTACTGCAGAGAGCAGAATGCACTATTTTGCATGTTTACAACACTAAACCACACACAGGGCTGATCACAGTAGTGAAGGGCTCGTGGTCTTACAACCACAGAATGTCGCTATGTTAACCATAATTAATTAAAATAACTAAAATAATTCATGCAAAACTTTGTGTGGAAACTGTTTTACAAATGTGCACGAGTACAGAACGTTGTCGGGAAAGCAGTCGGGCAACCCAGTTGAAATAATTTTGAGCGTTTTTGTCCGACTTTGTGATTTGCCTGCTTGCTGGTGACACAGATTCAGTTGAATACTCACTATATTTAGATGACGTGCGCAAAATACATCCGTCAACATGCGCGTATGAAAAAAAAAAAGTCTGTCAATCAACAAATGACGTTTATTTTTTCCACACTGACCATTTTATAATTAGATCATCTTGGCAGTCTTTAAGCCATCAGCTGCCACCTTAAACGGATAGTCCTTTGGATAATAGAAAGCACAGCAGTGTTGTCGACTAAAGTGTCCCACTCATCCTTCTTTGGCCTTACTGTCCCCCAGGGACACATTAGTCTCTTAATGCTTTGTCATCACCATTGGTTAATGGACCTCAGAGCAGTCTGTTAAAAACAGCCCTGATCAATACACAGTCTGTGCAGAAAGGGATAAGGTGCAAAAGCAAAGCAACTTTTCTTCATGCCTGGGAAACAAAGAAAGAAAAAAAAATAGTGTGTACTTGTCAATATTAGCAATGGCTGCTGGCGAGAGCTGATCTCTTGTCCAAGCTCTGGAGCTCAGAAACAAAATGCACCAAGACAAGCAAACGTCTGATCCTCGTATGACTACGAGACTCTTGTGTAAATTAGAAGCTAAAAACAAAACAAATATGCTCAAAATTGGCACAGTGACCCAGTTGAAATAGTATGCACACCTTTAATGTAAAACTTTGTTCAGTAACAGCACACTTAAATTGTATTTAAGTATTCAGTTATGAGGGTTCATCATAGTCCCACATGTTTTACTTGGCAATTTTTGCCGACTCTGCCTTGCAAAAGTTTCCCAAATCTTATCAGGTTGTGAGGAAATCATCACAATATGGTACGCGCGACCCCGCAAGTTTTCTGTCAAATTTTTCTGGACCCCAGACTTTTCTCTCATTTGTTCATTCTGAGTGATGCTGAAAAAAATAAATAAATGAAACGCCCTTTCAGCTTTCTGGAAATTTTGAGTAAAAA